AAGTGGGACCCATTTGAATGAATTTAACACATGGTAATATGATTTGGCACGAGGGTAATATGAAATGTCAAAATGTTTGTCCATATCATCACTTTGCTCTCCACATCATCAAAAAAAATATAAAAAATGCCATATAAGCAAAGTTAACGGCCCAAATTAACAGAAGGACTAACGGAGTGCATTTCGTGAAGTTGAGGGATCAAAAAAGTGCAAAAAATTGTTGAGGGACCAAAAATGTTCATTTCTTAAAGTTTAGGGACCAAATTAAGCATTTAACCAATTCAGAATTAAGAGAGTTGGTGAAGGCTGGTGGCATCCCTCTTTTGGGCATTCTTGAAGATCAAGATATAGGATTCATCAATAATAGAAGATTAAGGATTTCAATTACCTTAAATTAGATTTTGTTTTTCTTTAGATATTCTTATGTTCATGACTATAATTTCAGATTTTATTATTTTTATTATTAACTAATTTATTTTATTAAGGTTACGATGTAACCTAATCAATTTAATATAGATTTTGTGATTTTATACTTTCAATTAAAGTTATTTGCATGAGGAGTTTATATTATTGAACTTAATACATTGGAAGCTTGATTACCTTTCAATTGAGTTAGTGATTTATGCATAAACTTGAGAAAGAATTGCATAAATTAGACCAATAATAGTATAAACAGTGTGTTAGACTATGGGACCGAGAGGTAATTACCTCACATGTAGTAGTGGAGGAAGAGAAGAGAGTTAGGAGCTCCCCTTCTTAAGGTAAAGGTTTCAATAGAATTTAATGCTCATTAGTTTGTTTAAAATTACATAGAGATATGATTAATTTAACAAACAAGTGGAAGATTAACTTGGCTTGAGAAAATTAGTTAATTAATTTAGAGAAGTCCGTTATCACATGCAATAACACTCAACAAATTAGTTTTGGAAGCATATTAATACAAAATTGATATTGATTGATTATGGTGAAATCAATGCTTTAGTATCTCATATCTTGGTTATGTTTATTTTAATTGCTATTTTCTTTTTATTATTTTTAATTAAAGTTTCTTCCTTTTTTGTTGTTTAAATAAATTTGGATTAATTGTTTTGGTACTTAGTTAAAAACAATTCTCGTGGGTTAGACACTTTTCTCATCATTATATTACTTGGAGCGATTAATACATTTGCTAGGGTGATTTTAGTGTATCAAGACTAATTATCATTTTTTAAATAATTAACAAAATTATCCTTTCCAAAAAAAAAAAAAAGCATGTTCTTCTCAACAAACAACTCTACAAACATCCAGCAACAGAATCGAAAATGAACCCAAGAGCGGCAAAAAATTCAAGAAATTAAAATATCATGAGACACACACATGAAAGCAAACTCAAATCT